CCACTGGGGGGGTTCATGTTAAGACCAGCGTGCACTCCAAATCAGAGCAAGAGACCAATTTTAAATAGGAGTTGGAGTCTACATCACATAAATCCTTCACGTTGATCCTTCAGTCTTAAGCTCTCTATATAGTCTAAAAGAGTAACATGGTTTTGTAAATGGTGTTTTTTTTTTTAAGATATAGAAATAGCATTTTTCTCTTTCAATTTGTGTTAATTCTTTTTCCCTGCAAAGCAATTTGGAAGTTTGAGTTATAGTAAGAAGTAATATTTGTAAACATTCAAGGATTTTATTTTTTAAAAATCCTTGACAATCACTGGCAAGTAGCTTACAGTGATGGTTCTGTTGAGGGGCCGGCTTCGAGTACCGGCTTACAGTGCATCATTACCGGCTTACAGTGCATCATTACCGGCTTACAGTGCATCATTGTTTGGTAAAGCAGCTGAAATAGTCCCAGCCACAGGCAGCCACCTCTTCACTGTCCACCTCTATGCGTGTGAACTCTAGGGTGCCTGGAACAGTAGAACTAGGCAGTAGCTGCCGTTTCATGACTAGCTAATTTTCATCCACGCTGTAGTGTGCCAGTTCTTTGTTTTTTTAAGTCCAAAACACATAACATCACATGTATATGCCATGTACTGCACCTGGCTATTGCCAATATTGCTGCTGGGGCCAGGTCACGTCTACTTTGAACTGGGGTTTTACACGCTGCACACAAGGGTTAGCAGAGACACCTTCTTTCTTTCAAAGTAACTGTCTTGAAGGCAGCTGGAGCATCCAGGATTCTGGCAGGGGACAGGGAGAGGATAAGGGGGAACCAAATCCCTAAAACCATCAGATTTATCTCCAAGAAGCTTGGAGAAGTTCAGTACTACCTATCAACCCTATATTTTGTACAAGGAATTTTTGTGGAATCTTTGGGAGAAGTTCATTTTTAATTCCCACAGATTGCTACACACCAGGGCACATTCCAAACTTAGTGCTGTATGATTCTGGACTTGGTGTCTGGCTCAACCAATGATACTGTCCATGTCCCCACTCCTAAGAAGCAACAGCCTTTTCCCTCTTAAGTATCTTGCTGCATTCTCTTGTCCCATTGTAAACATAGCTAACGAGGCTGAATTGATCTCCAGCCCTCCAAATTGTATACATAAGCACATTTTTTTTCCCTGAGGAAAATGTCCACATATTTAATTTGAATTTCTCAAAGATCAAATAGCTAAAACCATAGCTTGGAGTTCCATCAAATTGGTGAGTTTTAAAGCCTCTAGAGTTGGAAGTTTTGATTTGAAAGTGAGAGCTGAAGGAAGAGCATAGAAACATCAAGAAGGGTTGAGGAGAGAGATTCCTTCTGGGCTTAAGGAGGACGATAACTCCTCCAAGTCTCACATGGGGGAGGGGGTAAAAATTGCTCTTTTCACCATTTTGCCAATGTGTAGAGGAGAAATCCAGGATGCATTTCTTGTGTGTGTCGGTGTGACTGAGTCCTGTGTATTCTTTTTGGTAACCAACAGTGACCACAGTAGCCCTTTCTGAGGCTTATCATAGGAAGAAATGGATGGTGACTGTTGCAGATACTGACCAGCCTATTCCACAGGCAGATCTCCACAAAGAAGTGTCAGCTGTGAACCTGACATTGGAGCTGCACCAGAAGTGCTCAGGGTGAGAGGGGGATTGGAACCGGGGCTGAAAGGGATGGTTGGAGGAGTTAGCGTGTACCCTAGGAAAACATGACAGACGTGATCTCAGTGCAAGCACAGAGATAGGTACAGTAGCAACACTGTCCCTCAGTGGATACCACACTGCCTTCCTTAGCCACAGACTAGAATCCCCATCTGTGGGGTCAGTGTTGGGGTGTGAAGACAGTGGTCCCCAAATTGTGTCTTCCTAAAACATAGTCCTAAGCCAGCCTTAAAGAGTAAAGTATCTCCCTGATCTCAGAGGGAGAAAAGATGCCAGAAATTTAGTTTTTCTTCATAGAAATGTGCCATGCCTTAGGTGCTTGCTTTCACTCACTCACACCCGTCCACGTGTGGCGTGACTTGCAGTGTTGATACTCACAGAATCACTATTTCCTGGTAACAAAGAGCCCATTAGTTCCAGCTGGCCAGCAGCCTACTCACGTTTAGGAATAACCCTTATGGCACAGGACAGGGCCTACATCCTCTGAGTTTAACAGCAGGGTGTGGATGACCAGACACCACCCTTTGCAGCAATGGAATGTGCAGACCCTCAGCTCAGGCGGAAAAAAGAAACAGCATCTCCTTACCCTGCCCACTGCCTAGACTGGTTTCTGTGTGCTGTGAAATGTGCACATGTTTTGTAAACTCAGGTCATAATTTTGGTGAGGTTTTATGGGAGAGTTTCAATTTTGTAGTCAACCCCCATGTCTCTTACAATTCATCTGTCTCCATTCAATGCTGAGTTGAGCTGTTGTTTTTCAAAACATGACGGTGGTTATGTCTACCTACAACTTGCCTTTCCCTGATATGACTGCAGTTTAAAATGTCCTCATAACATCACCTGGGGGTTATTTGGCAGGGATAGAAGTTGTAATTTTGTTCCTTACTTTAGGTTTATTAAAGAACCTAAAGTTCTGTTTCTTAAGCAATAGTCACCACCTCCCTCTCTCTTCAGCATGTAAATATTTTGCTGATATTACTTATTACTCTTTAACATATTCAGAAAATATTTGTTGCGTCCCTCTGGGCATCATCCTATCAGGCAGAAATGAAGTGACTTTGTTGTGCATTGGAATAATTAAGAGACTGACTGCTTGTACCGGAATTCTCCCTTCTTCTAATCCCCTCCCTTCCCTCTTCTCTCTCTCCCCTTCCCTCTTCTCTCTCTCTTCCTCCTTCCCTCTGCCTCCCTCTTCTTCCTCTTCCTCTTCCCTCTTCCCCTTCCTTTTGAGCCAAATTCCACTGAGAATGGAATATTCTGGAAGTTTCTTTGGGGTGCTACAAAACAATCTTTGCATATTTGCTCCAGAAATAACCTGAGCAGGTCTGTGGTCTCTTGACATCTCAAGAACTCCTGTAGGGGGTGAGGGACTTCCACGATAGGGTCATTTTCTCTCAGGTTTAGGTAACTTCCTGCCCTTTATATATAGACCATATAGGGTATTTGACTAGGGGAAATCTCTCACAGTGCCTTCCCGGCTAGCATCCTTGCTCTTCTCTAGGGTTTAATTCCAGAATTGAGGTGCTGGCTCTATGAGTACCTCTTCCTTGAGGTTGAATTTCCCTTCCCAGGAGAAGCCTTCCTTTTCCACTCACTGGCAGTGCAGGGCCTCAGGGGTGTCAGCTTCTGCCCTGGCTCCTAACACAAACCAGAAACAAGTCCTCTGTCCCTGGACTATTCTCTTCCAGCAGAACACAGAATGGAAGTAATGAATGTTCTCCCTTGGACTAAACAAGACCTGCAAGAGTGTAATCGAGACTAGATAACAAGGAAGGGTTCTGCTTTGGTTAATGGGCCAATCTCAACATGTTTGTACAGTAGTATGAAGAAACAGTTGATGGAGTTGACTCAATGTAAGGTAACTGTGACATCAACAGCAAGCAGAGTTAGTACCCTACTAAAACACAGCCTAGAGAAATAGTGAACACTACAAATGTGTAAGTGGATTACTTTACATTCAAATAACAAGATTGTGATGACTTACTCCTCTTTTCATAATCATAATGCTATACTAAATTTGCTGTCAAACTTTTTTAGGAAAGAGAGAAGCAAGAAGATTGAAGTTAAAATGGTTCCCTACCGAGACCTAACCAGCTAAAGAAACTCAGCTCACAGTTGCAAAAAGACTAAGGTGGGCATCATTCATATGATTTTAGAGTCCAAGCTATTAGCTACTGCATTGCACAGCTGTTCGCACCCCAAAACACACAGTAACACATCTCTGAAGACATTAGATTGGGAGAGCTAAAATTTGGCCTTGGTGCAATTCATGACAGCTTCATTTTCCTAATTCTGTATTTGTGCACATGTGTGGATGTGTGTGCATGTGTGCATTCATTCATTTGTGTGTTTGTGCATGTGGAAGTTACAGGTTAGTCTTGGGTGTCATGCCTCAGGCACCATCACCCTTGGCTTTTTGAGACAGGGTGTCTCCTTGTCTTGGAGCTGTAGAGCAGGCTAAGCTGATGGGACGGCAAACCCCAGAGATCCCTCCATGCTGTCCCAGGGTGAAGTGATGAGTATATTCCACTTTGCCTGGGTTCTTTACCTGGGCTCTGGGCCATGAACTCAGGTCCCCACACCTGTAAGGACAGCACTTCGCCAACAGAGCCATCTCTCCAACCCTAAATCTACAATTAAAAAAAAATTACATTGCTATATTTTTAGATCTTCATACTTTCATTTTCTCAAGTAAATTAAGGCAATCCTTGCAAAGACCAACAAAATAACAATTGGTAATGCAGAAAGAGAGTGGCTTCTAAATCAGACAAGTGTGTTCTGGACCCAGCTAAGTCACTGTCTGTGAAGCCAGATTTAGGTTGCACAACTTTCCCTGGTTTTATCACCGTCTGTAAACCAGATGTAATAAGAAGCCTGGCAGCATTGTGAGGAGTTTAGAGGCAACATCGAGCTGACGCACAGGGGACTTGATGAAAGCCCAATCTCTCTACTCTTAAGTCCCTGAAGAAGATTTCCACCACCCACCCGACATTCCACAATCTGCTAAACAGCAGCCACACAAACTTTTCCATAGCTTCACGGGTATTTTTGTCTCCATCCATTAATTCTCATGGAAATTTGGCTTCTATATTATTATTGTTTAGGTGCTTTTATAGTCAGTTCACTGGAAGTCAATGTCTTCTCCAGGTGGTTCCTTTTGAGATTAAAGAGAAAGAAAGAAGTGACACACTTAGAGCCGTCCTTGCGGCTGACCATTGCCTTCACCAATGTTCTCTGCTCTCCTTCATCCGCCAGGTTATTCTCGTTGGATCCCCATGGCCAAGCTGTACTCCCCCATTTTCTTGCAAGATGAAACCATGAATGAGCCACTGGACAGTCCAGTCAATGATTCTGATTTCCTAGATTACGCAGCAGCGTTGGGAAACTGCACCGACGAGCAGCAAATCTCATTCAAGATGCAGTACCTTCCCGCCATTTACAGCATCATCTTCCTCGTGGGCTTCCCCGGGAACACAGTGGCGATTTCCATCTACATTTTCAAGATGCGGCCCTGGAAGAGCAGTACCGTGATCATGCTGAACCTGGCCTTGACAGACCTGCTCTACCTGACCAGCCTCCCTTTCCTCATCCATTATTACGCGAGTGGTGAAAACTGGATCTTTGGCGAGTTCATGTGTAAGTTCATTCGGTTCGGCTTCCATTTCAACCTCTACAGCAGCATCCTCTTCCTCACCTGCTTCAGCGTCTTCCGCTACGTCGTGATCATTCACCCCATGAGCTGTTTTTCGCTTCAGAAAACGCGGTGGGCGGTGGTAGCCTGTGCAGGGGTGTGGGTCATCTCTTTGTTAGCTGTCATGCCCATGACCTTCCTGATCACATCAAGCCCCAGGACCAATCGGTCGGCTTGCCTTGACCTCACCAGTTCCGATGACCTCACAACTATCAAATGGTACAATCTGGTTCTGACCGCCACCACTTTCTGCCTGCCCTTGGTGATAGTGACCCTTTGCTACACAACAATTATCAGCACCCTGACTCACGGGCCTCAGACGCACAGCTGCTTTAAGCAGAAGGCTCGAAGGCTGACCATTCTGCTACTTCTAGTGTTCTATATATGTTTTTTACCCTTCCACATCTTGAGGGTCATTCGGATTGAATCCCGCCTGCTTTCAATCAGCTGCAACGTCGAGAGTCACATCCACGAAGCTTACATTGTTTCTCGACCTTTAGCGGCTCTCAACACCTTTGGAAACCTGCTGTTGTATGTCGTGGTCAGCAACAACTTTCAGCAGGCATTCTGCTCCTTGGTGAGTTGCAAAGCCAGCAGGGAGCTTGAACGAGCAAAGAAAGACAGTTGCTTTAACAACCCTTGAGTCATGCCATTTAGTCAAGGCTAGGGAAGTGTCTCCCTGGGTCAATCAAGCTCTGGACATGCCAATATGAGGAGGATCTGAAATAGAACCTTCAGAATCCACTTAAGTTGGGTGTGGTGTCGAGCACCTGAAATCCTAGCATTCCCGTGATGAGATGGAAATTCAGGCAGGAGAATTCCTCGAGGCTCACAGGCCAGCTAGTCAACTGTACACAGTGACTAACCTCAAAGAGACCTTGTTTCCAACAAGTTGCAAGGGGAGATCCATATATGTACTGTGTCATCTGTTCACACCCCCCACAGAAGTGCAAGATTATAATTCACACATACATACTCACCAAATATCAATCAATCAATCAATCAATCAATCAATCAGTCAATCAACTAGTCAATCAACCAGTCAGTGCCTCCTGATAATTTGTATATAACTACCAAGAAGTGCCCCCAGTAACTACAGTATATTCAGGTCATTATGAGCCAAAGCCACGGGCAGGGCTCTTAGGAGATCTTTGCGATATGTTTATTTAGGTCTTTGTTTGGGTAGAGAATGAGGTACATGAATGCCAATAAAGTATACTGTGAAACTTGAAGAATCTCTGTTGCCATCAACGTGGAAACTGGTGTTTGTACAACAGCCTTGGACCTCCCAGGGCTTTAATGTGAGGCTGGGGACACCAAACAAACTAGAACTAAAAAAAGTCAAGGGTATCCTATAATACCCAGTTTCCTGTCTTTCATAGTTTGGGTCCTGTGTTTACTGAAATTCTAGACTATCCAAAAGCATCGCTTACACCTTTCTCAATATTTTTACAACTCAGATATTTTCAACTCTTTTCCTTTAAATTTTCCTTGAGTTTATTGTTCTGAGTTTCCCTTTCAGTTCTATTTCATTCTTTAGATAGAAGGGAGACATTAGGATGCAGTTAACAGAGGGCTGTGGAGATGGCTCAGTCAGCAAAGGGCCTGCTGTACAAGTATGGAGTCTTGAGTTTGGTCTCTAGAACCTATACATAAACGCCTGGTGCAGTGATATGCACTTGGAATCCCAGCTCTAGGAAGGCAGAAATGGCCAGATCCCTGGGGCCTGCTGCCAGTCAGCCTAGCCTTTTTGGTGAGTTCCAGCAAAATAAAAGATCCTGATTCAAAAACGGAGGGCTATAGCTCCTGATGAACCACACCAAGGTTGTCTGCTGGCCCATGTCTTCTCTGTTATAGGTCATCTATTTAATAATTAATCAATTGTTAAATTGTTGAGTGTATAAATCACATTAAGTTTTATTGGTAATTGTCAACATGTTCTGGGGAAAGAGGAGACATATGAATGAAATAGAAATACTTTCAGATATCATATAGGCAGTAAGTACTATGTCAAATCTAAACCTGCTTTGTTTTCCAGGGAGAAGTATTTACACAACATTCTCTTTGGCTACTTTGGTCTTTAAGAACAATGATGAAAATAATGCCTGTAGAAACAGATAAAGTTATTTTTGGATTACATGTGTGCTGAATTATTAGTAAATGTAAATATTTGAGGAAATATTTGGACTAGATATTTTAAAACCTAATGACTGTGTTGATACAATAATAAACTTTAAAAAAAAGTCATTCTCTGAACTGGTCATTTTTTTTCCATGGAAATGCAACTTATCTATTATTATATTGACAACAAAGTTATTTTCTCCATGGTTAAAGGTCAAAATTCCAGTTTTATAATATGGCTGGAACACAGACTTTCTGCACAGAAAAGGGACCATCAGATTCCAGGGACCTTAGAGGTTTTCTGGGACATCATGTCCTCTGCTGGACAAATGAGACTGGACAGAGAAGGTACAAGGCCTGGGGCCCTGACCACGAACCTCTGTGGATGACACCTTTGGGCCATCTCTCACAGGCTTTTCTGTGACACTGGGAACAAGTAATTTCAGTAGAAATAGCTTGGAGTAGCAACCAGCAGTCCACTAGGCGCCTCTCAGCTTTCTGACTCTGCTCCTTCCCTGCAGTACCAGCCTGGATGCTGCACTATCTCTAACATGTAGCTAGGTGAAAGCTGTTATTTTTCACTTTAAAAATTTTTCAGTGGACTTAAGAGCCTCATCAGGATGGTTTTCAGGATAAGAGGTAAGTGGAATCCATCCAATGTCTTCTGGTAACCCTGGACACTTGAAAACCCTTTCCTGTCTCCCCATCATCATCCGTTCTTCTGTAAAAGATCTCTTCCACCATGGTAAAGCAGGCTCATCCCCGTTCATGCCCATTTTAAAACACACACACACACACACACACACACACACACACACACACACACACACCACCCACACACACACACACACCCCACACA